GATCTGGAGGGAGAAATTTTCAGAGAGAAGGAACAATGTATGCAGAGACCTTTGTCAGATAAAATCTTGGCTTGTTAAAGGAACTGAAAGCATCTCAGTGTGGTTGAAATACAGAAAATGAGGAAGATAATGGAATTAAGTGATATTTAAAGATATAGAATCCATAAGTTATAAAGCCTTTGGGTCACAATGAGAAGTTTGGAGTAAATGCTAATAGCATTAAAAGAACCAGAAAAGGATTTTAAGCAAAGTAATGGTAGGTGTTACAAGGAAGGATCACCTGGGCTATATGTGGAAAGAGTTAGAATGGATCAAAAGATGGCAAATCTCCTAATTAAAGAGAAATACATGTTAAAAGAATTTCAACAAGTGTGGTAAAATATAAAAGAGAGGCAAGGAGAGTACAGTGTCAACCATGGAGTACAATGATAATACACAGACTCTTTCTACCCCATGCAATATTTGTGACTTCATTGCAACTTATGTAAACCCTCTACACCTCAACTTCCTCATTTGTGACATCGATATAATCATAGGACTCCTATTAGAATGAATGAGATAATGCATATAATGCATTTAGCCTATAAATAAATGCATTATATGCATTTATTCATATAATGCATTCTCATTAAATGATAATATTAGTGTTAGACATATTATGGGAAATGGACTCCAAGGTAGGCAGTCCAGTACAGCAGCTGTTGCAATTGTTCAGTGGGGCAATGACAGTAGCCTGTATCAGGACAGTGGTAAGAGATACAGCTAGATTGTGGAAATTTTGGGAGGTAAAATCATTTAGTTTCTGATTGAATATTAGGGGTACTAGAGTAACAGAGGTTGAAGTGACTCTCCAATTTCTAGCTTTAGTGTCTGAGAGGGGAGTCAGGGCATTGACTGAAAAGGAAAGAACAGATAAAGGAATGGATCACTAATCTCACATCTCTGTAAGAGACAGGGACCCTAGATATGTTTAAATTAAAAGGGAGAGAGATTAGCAACAGAAGCAACATCAACCACCCAGATATAGACAGAGAAGGAGAGAGAGAGACAGAGACAGAGAGACAAAAGCAGGGAAACCGAAGAAACATACTTTGAATATTCCTGTTAGTGACTTCTTAGGTTGTTCTCCTTTCTTAAATCTCAGTGACACAACTTTTTCACAGAAAGCTAAATGTTCCTTCTCTAACAGACTCTGTGTTTTTGCCTAACCCCTAATAAATTCCCTTGCCATTCCCCAGCATGGGGATTTTATACTTACTTGTCACTGAGAAGATTCAGGGGGAAACTCTTCCTACTTTCTCTTCAGTCTGGAGAAGAACTTTTGAAAAGCAAGCCATGAGAATCTCTAAGCTCACAACCAACTGTGAATTTCAGAGGCGTATAAACCACAATAAAAATGAAGGTGTGAACTTGACCTCTAGCTTGCTGTTTTGGCCTAAATGGGCTCTGTTACTTAACACAGAGGTGTAAACAGAAAGTCTTTCTTTTGTAAGTGAAACTTTCTACACTAGTGGAGCCAAAACAAACAACCATGTTTGTTAAGTACAAAAATGGAAGTGTGATTTGAGTGGGTGTGAGCTGTTTCTAGATTTTGAAATTGTAATGCACTTGTATCTTCTTTTGCTTTCTTACAGCCTCTGCAGGGATTATGTAATAAATAGTAGCATCAATGTTAATACTGAACTCAAAGTGGGTAGTGGCAAGGGATGGTTTACATGTATGGGGACAAATATTTAGTTCTATCCAGATAGCCAAACTGGTGTTATAAGATCATACTATCTTACTATGGGATTAGAAATGCTCCACCATAATACGCTTTCACATGTCACAATGAGAGGTAGGTAAGCTAGCTGCATTCTACTATATAGTCCCTCCAACTCAGAAAAAAGAAAGTAGAGTAGTGAAAATAGCAAAAGATTTGGAGAAAACCTGCATGATATTAGATCCTATATTTACCATTTTCTATTTTTCTTACTTTGTGAAATTTACTAAATCTTTCTGAGCCTCAGTTTCCTCATGTGCATTCTGAGAGTAATAATAGTTCTACCTTTCAGCATAGTTGAAAGAATTAAATTAGATAATTTATGTGAAATCTTCCTTTTTGGATAACTTGGTGAATTCTTTGTTGTTGTTGTTGATGGCTTTATTGAGGTACGATTAACATGCAATACACTACAAATATGTCAAGTATAAAATGTGTGCTATTAAAGCTTATATATACAGCTATAAAAATCATAATCAAGTTACTGAATGCATCTAATACAACAAAAACATTCTTTTTGTCTATAAAACTACCAGTCTTTCCTAACTCTTCCACATGCACAAACCACAGCAAACTTTTTTCAGTATTTTATAAATGAAATCCTGTTATGTACTTTTTTAAGATGGGGCTTTGGCTTTTTTCACTAACCAGAGCTATATTGAGGTTAACCTGTCTTGTTGCATGTGTAAATAGTTTGTTTATATTGCTGAGCAGTATTCTTTATATACCACCTATATACCACCATTCCTCTGGTGGTAGGGTAGATTGACTCTAATTGGGATCCCTGGAGGACCCTTTGGGCAGATTTACCTATAGCTTTCTCCTGACAAATTTACCTGCATGCATTCTTGATGGCCACAACATGATGATTATCTGACTTTCCCCATGTGAGAACTTATCCACCCTCCCACTCTAAATCATACATATGTACACAAGAAGATTGCATGACTCTTTCAGACATATCACAGATGATAGGCCAAATAGTGTGAGTGAAAAAGGAGAGGGGAGGGAGTAAAAGGGGAGAGGAAGTGAAAGTACTTTTTAGAATAACAGCAGCTCATAACACTAACACTTTTCTGTGAATTCATGTCTTAGACTTTTGTTCTCCTATCACATCTCTATGTACTGGATTTGTTAATACATAAGAAGTCATTCTACCACTAATGTGGAGAAGCTAAAACCATATCACCCCTCTGATTTGATAAAAACAAATTTGAAACAATAACATCAAAACACCACACCTGAAGAACAAACTCACTAATTTATTTCTTCTAATTCTAGAACTGAATAGTAGCAGTTATCTGAATCTAGTAGTCACTGCTGCAAAATGACAAAAAGTATGCTTATAAAATTTGTCTTTGGGACAGTGGAATGAATCTGACATAACTTCCCTATGTACATTTATAAATACACCACATGGATCTCACCATCATGTATATCCACAAGACTGGGATGCTAATTAGAATAAGATATACTCCATGTGTGTATAAATGTCAAAATAAACTCTATTGTCATGTATAACTAAAAGAACAAATAAAAATAAATCTAGTATCAAAACTTTGAAAATAAAAATTTAATTCATATTTGATAAGGTATATTTTCTATCAATATCTGGAATTATTTAGAATCTATATCCACATCCAGACAAAACAATAGAAAATTGTCTTTGGGAGGAAAACAAAGATGGAAAGAGGGAAGTATATGGAGAGTAGGTAACTTGTTCTCCCACTTGAAGTCATAGATTTTTCATTTAGTGGTTGTGTGGACATAAAACCATCTTTTCTCGGTATTGCTTCTTTTACCTGTATTATCTGGAAGTTGAATATGATGATTTCCAAAGGTCCTTCCCATTCTGAAATTTTACATGATAATTCAAGTAAAATAATTAGTCTTTTGCTCTCCTGCCAGTCATCTGCAAAATACAGACTGGACTTTGAGAAGATTACCCTAATCTTTCTCCATGTCCTAACATAAGACATAATAAAAATCATACTACCTCAGAGAGTCAAGAAGTTGAGGCAGGAAGAGTTTAAGCTTGAGACCAGCCTCAGTAATTTAGCAAGACTTTCAGTGATTTAGTGAAGTTGTCTCAAAATACAAATTAAAAAGGTGTGGGATGTAGCTTAGTGGTAAATCATCCTTGGGTTGAATCCCCACTACCAAGAAAAAAAATACTAAAGTATAAAGTACGATTGAAGAATTCAAAAAGTTTTCTCCTTACAATGATTAATGAAAACAATGTTAAATTGTTTTCAAAGAATGATTTTTGTGGCCTATTTTGCTGGTACCCTGAGCAATCTTAACAGTGATTGCTGGATATCATGAAATCCTGATGATACCTCACCAGTACAGGGTTCCCCTTGGAGGGATTTTTTTTTCTATGATGATTTGAATGGAAATGCCTTAAAATTCAGTTTCTAAATTCAAATATTGAAATATATTATGTATATATAGGGATTAAACTCAGAGGCACTCGACCACCAAGCCACATCCCCACCCTATTTTGTATCTTATTTAGAGACAGGGTCTCACTGAGTTGCTTAACATTGCTGAGGCTGGCTTTGAACTTGCAATCCTCCTATATCAGCCTCTGGAGCTGCTGGGATTACAGGCATGCACCACTGTGCCCAGTAATCATGTGAATTTTAAATAGGACCTAAGCCAAAAGAGACAGACAAACTCTAAGAGAGCCTCTGCCATATTATTATGATAAAATAACAAAACCATAGTACTCGATTTTGAAAATCAGCCATGATACTGCTCGAGGAATCAGGGTCATTTTTTAAGTGCTGAGTGCCAAGGTAGAAATCTAGGACCCAATGAACAAAATGTTAAAGGAGAGGCAAGAGTATCCAAAAAATGAGGCTAAACTTCTACCATCTTGACTTGGAGTGACTGAGCAGTATTCACTCTAACCAGAGACTTGGGCAAAACAAATTTGGCAGCAAAAGAAATATACTTGCATGCTATACTCTTTGTTGTAAGGTGAATAATAGATTGAATATTTAAATACACCCTTGCTTGCAAGACGTAACTTAGAGAACCTGATTGAGCAGTTGTAGGAAAGTTCCATTATTCCTTAAGTGATTGACTGTATGATCTTGGATCAGTAGTACATCTTCCTTGAGCCTCTACTTTGTAATTCTAATATTCTGTACCTTTCTAAATATAAGAAAGATCTGGGTGTTGATTAAACAATTAATCACTGTTCTTTTTTTCTTTGCTTTGGGCAGGAATCATAAATCCACCGCGTACCTTGATGAATATACTGAAATATTCAAGATGGGTAGCAACCGTACCAACTATGTTGAGACTAACTGCACTGATCTTCAAATACCATTTCAGTACTCCCTCTATGCAACCACCTATATCCTGATATTCATCCCTGGTCTTCTGGCCAACAGTGCAGCCTTGTGGGTCCTGTGCCGCTTCATCGGCAAGAAAAATAAAGCCATCATTTTTATGATCAACCTCTCTGTGGCTGACCTGGCTCATGTGCTGTCCTTACCCCTCCGGATTTACTATTACATCAACCGCAACTGGCCTTTCCAGAGGGCCCTTTGTCTGTTGTGCTTCTACCTGAAGTATCTCAACATGTACGCCAGCATTTTCTTCCTGACGTGCATCAGCCTGCAGAGGTGCTTCTTTCTCCTCAAGCCATTCAGGGCCAGAAACTGGAAGCGTAGGTATGATGTGGGCATCAGTGCTGCCATCTGGGTCATCGTGGGGACTGCCTGTTTGTCATTTCCTATCCTAAGAAGCACAGACTTAGGCAACAACACAGAATCCTGCTTTGCTGATCTTGGTTACAGGCAAATGAATGCTGTGGCTTTGGTTGCCATGATTATAATTGCTGAACTTGCTGGATTTGTGATTCCAGTCATCATCATTGCCTATTGTACCTGGAAAACTACTATATCATTGAGACAGCCACCCATGGCTTTCCAAGGGATCACCGAGAGGCAAAAAGCATTGAGGATGGTTTTCATGTGTGCTGCAGTCTTCTTCATCTGCTTCACTCCCTATCACATTAACTTTATTTTTTATACTATGGTAAAGGAAACTATCATTAGCAGTTGTCCCATTGCCAAAAGCACACTGTATTTCCATCCTTTTTGCCTGTGCCTTGCAAGTCTCTGCTGCCTTTTGGACCCAATTCTCTATTATTTCATGGCTTCAGAGTTTCGTGACCAACTGTCTCGCCATAGCAGCTCTGTGACCCGTTCCCGTCTCATGAGCAAGGAGAGTGGTTCATCAATGATTAGCTAAAAATAAAATAAGTAATTATAACTGTTTAGTTATGTTCTTGGGATTTTTTTCTAAAGGTCAGAATTACCATCCAGATAATTTGTTTAACTAAATGGAAACAAGAAAAAAAAAGTGTTTTCTTGTATGATAGTTGAGGTCACAGGGATGTGATAGAAGAGGGAGTGTTGAAAATGTAGAAGAAGGGAAACAGTATTTGCCTTCCTGAACTTAAAACTTCAAGGTACTTTATCAGTTAAGAGACCTAGATCACGTTTTTACAAATGTTTGTAACAAAAGAGAAACTGTATACTTTAGCTTAAAATTTTTCTGTAGATATTGCTAATAAGATACAACAAATACAAGAAATTTTTTCTCAAATTTAAAAATCAATCTCTTTTGCAAGAAGAATTTTATTTCTGAATGAGAGTCTAAGTGTTACATCATAAAGAGGTGTGAGGAGTTAAAGCAGTGCATATGCTTCAGGACCACAAAATTTTTACTGAAGGAAAGGTGTAGAAAATCATTCATTCACTGAAAATTTATTGGATGTCTATTTTGTTCTGGACTGCCTATTTCTTAGACACTTTGATATATAGTATCTCATCTGACCCCTCTAACAAAAATGGTATAATGTGAAAGTTTCTAATACAAATGAATAAATGGCATCTCAGAGAGGTTAAGCAACTTGCCTTTGATTAAAAGTAGTGAGCCAAACTTTGTTGAGTATAGATCATGTATTCTCAAGTTATTCTCTCTCTGTTATTATACTTATTAGGGTAATACTAAACTTAAGTGCAATGATTAAGCTAAGACATATGAGATCAAGGTCATTTCAATATGATTTTCCTGGGATTACCCAGAAAAATCTATGGGTTATGGGGTTAACCTGTTATAGTTCAGGTTGCAAGGTCTCTGGTGATAGCTATGTTGTCATTGTGACAATCTATTGAATCATGAAAAGGGTCCAGAAGACCCAAATAGTTCATTAGTTTCCAAAATATATATTTTAAGGCTTAATACAGGTCATATAATCTTCATAAATAAGTGAAAGGAAGTTTTGAAACTGAGCATTGGACTTTTTTCTGTAAAATTTAGTTTTTAAAAATATGCCTAACTGCTTTTTTAACAACTATATATTACTCTGAGCAAATATGTGTTTGACTTTTAAGAAGCTTTTCTGTAATCAAGACTCACAGAATTGCATAGAAAACAAAATATTATCATATTGTGAATGATAATAATAATGAATATAAGAAAATATATATCCTCTCTCTGGCAATCTTAATTTCTCCAAAGTTTATAGATACTGTTTTAGCATCATTATGGAGGATTTGAATACAAGCAATCCCTTAGCTTCTCAAGTTGGCATTTATGAAACTCAATCTGACATTCTTATCTTTTACATCTGAAATATAAATAGCATAGACATTGGGTGGAGGGAGGAAAATGCAAGTCATAGTCCTCAAAATATCCATTTGAACAGATTTGCTTTAGCAGAAGAAGGGACAACTAAAAGGAGGAAGTTTTTTAAAGAATAAGTTTTCTGGGGAGAGAGAATTCTGTAATTATAAATTAATAAAACTGTTTTTTCATGTGTATATATTTGTATGTACTTTATTAACCTGCATCTGAAGGCACTGTCTAAAGAGTTTCCATATGTCCTTGGACTTAATGGCAGCATTATAAGAATCATGGTCCCACTCTGAAGAGATGAAATTGAAAGAAACCCACTTGGAACTATACAACTTGCTATGTTTGTGGAGAAAAGAAACCTCAGAATTTAAGCATCACAGGCTTCATATTCCCTCCTCTCAAGTGGTTGATGAGGCATAGTGCTTCATGCACAAGATTTGTGGATTAGTGGGCAAGTTAAATGATGTGCCTTTCAGTTTGGCCACTGTTGGAAGGAAAATCTTTGGGCTTTTTCTGATATATGAATTCATAATGGGATTAGAGGAAAAAACACAAAACCATATCCAAGCAAACAATAGTTGGTTCTTGTATTTTAAAGGCTAGGAAATCTTGCAAAATGCCAGCAGGAAAGGTGACAATGCTTGAGCTGATAAGATAGCATACCAAGAAATCACAGAGACTGCCTGAAACTATTACAATTGCCAATTATTTTGATAGCTATCCCTATGATTGTCACAGGGACATGATGTGAGACAATGAGGATAGCCAAACATACATCCTTAGTTTTTCAAAATTTAATGCTAAACCCTACATTGCCCACAAGTTGCTGTAAGATACCTATCATAATTCACTTAGAAAGCATTCAGAATCTCTTAACTCTGATGAAAGACTAACCTGCTGATAGTTTTAGTTAAATGGAAGAAATTTAATAATTCTTACAATAACGTATATGACTTTAATTGCAGTTTATGCATGGTTATGCTGTTTACATTTAGGAAGCATGAAATACTAGCAAAGAGTATATAATGTTTACCATTGAATAAGTAGATTACCATTATGTGTGGTTATTTCTATAAAAATATTAAGCATGAAAATTTTGGGGGTGGTACTGGGGATTGAACCCATAGCTTTGAACATGCTAGACATGTATTGCTACCACTGAGCTATATCTCTAGCCCCACCATCAGACTTCTGTTTGAACATTTAACTCCTCTATTATAGAATTGCTTCTGTGAGAAAATCAATTTCTCCTTACATCTTTTTGCAATCTCCATGAATACAATTTATAAAAAAAAAGAGATTACTGCTTATAATAGAATTTAAATCACAACCCCCATTTATGGCTGTAAGTATTATGGTTACCATATTTATATTTTTGAGCTAACACTGTGACTTAAAGTAAGTGTAAAATGTACTATACCATTACAATTTAAAGCATGCTGCTATTCTCTAAAGCTCTGAGGTGGTAAGTAACTTCAATTTTGTTTTAGGAAGAAAAAAGTAGTTTCTGTTATTTATCTGGGTGTTCCTTTGTCCAAGATATACAGAATGCATAAAGTATGAAACCATTGGTTTCACAGGAGCCAAATTTCAAATTTGGTACTAAGGAGAAAGAAGGAGAGTAGCAAAATTCCAGGAACCTTTGGCATAGACTAGCAAATTTTCTGATTTTCTGGAGTTAGGGTGATGGGTTTCTGTGACCTGAGAAATTGCTTTAAATGCCCTGGCATTCTTTTTGGACACCCTCTTGTACCAGGACAGGAAGAACAAAAGCTGAGGTGACTAGTTCTGAATATTATAGCTTAGCTGGAAGTATATAGGGGACATAATTAACAAGGTTATAAAGATTAGAGACCTAGAATATACAGGTTCTTAAATTACAGGTATAGAAGATGGAGTTTTGAGTGGTGGCGTAAGGTAGGGTGGATCATTAAAATTTTGAATATATATTTAAAAAGTTTATAATAGCAGATCCTAAATAGTTATTGAACATAAGAATATAGGCAAAAGCCTGGTGACATGTATACATCACTTTTTACTGATTCATTATGTAGGTAAGGTTATATAGATAATTTCACAAACATACCTATGTATAATTAAAATATATAATAGAAAGTTATCACCCATGGAATCTACATATGTGAGAAAATTTTCATGGATTGTTAAATTTAATTCTCACAACAACCCATGAGATAAGTACTATAATTTCTCCAATTCTCTAGATGGAAAAAAATACAAGAAAGAGGCTAAATAACTTGATTATACTCAATTTCCTCACATTTCTCTTTCTAATTTCTTATTCTAAATTCATGAGGCAGCAAATCCTGGGGCCTACTATGAATACATATATGATGGTACACATGGCCTCAGCTTTATATACACATTGGTGTAAAACAAAAACTTGAAATGACTTCACTGAAATGTTAGAGTAAGTTATTTTTAGGGGATCTAATTATGAATAATTATTATTTTCTACACTATATTCTAATTTTGCAGAATTTCTTTCATAAGAATACTATTTTCCCTAAAGATAGGAAATATTATAAAGTATGAGTTGTCAGTTATGTAATTAAAAGGAAAACAATTGCTTCAGAATGAAAAGTATTAGGGGTGGATTAAAAAATAAAGCATAATAGTTAGTAGACATTATATAAAAAGGGATTGTAGTTTCTGAAATATCTTTGGAATGTTTAAAAGTTTATTATATACCAAATTATGAATATACCTGATATACAAGGATAGTAATTGTGCATATGACATTGTATGACCAAAATTAAAATTACCAATTTGTGTAAATAGTAGAAAATGGGACACATAATAACTAATATAAGATAATTTTTAAAAATACTATGATAAATCTAATGCAGACAAATTTGAAAATGTCATTGACATGGGTGGTTTTCTGTTTGAAAGAATTACCAAAATGAACAAGAATGGAAAACAATTGATTACCTAAGAAATTAAGAAAATTACTAAATACATTTCTACCAAAGACAATCATATCTTTAAAATTTTCAATGAGCTCATAATTTCCATTTTTTCATATTGCTCCTAAAATCCAGAAACAGGCAAACCATTTAATTTTACAATGCAATTTTGTCCTTATTAAAACACATAAAAATTAAGGTCATTTATCAAAATATAGTCAAAAAGCTAAGTAAAATATTTGCAAATATAATTCATCAGTGCATTAAAATCTTAATATTGTTATACTTAAACAGTAACTGTATAGCACAATTTAAGTGTAATTTTAGTGTAATCTCAGGAATATAAGCCAAGCTCAACATAAATTTTATTCAATTATAAATAAACCTAACAAAATCAATTCTTCCTTCCTTCTCTGCAAACTAAAATAGAAATAAGAACTAAAATAATTTCAAGAAACAAATCCAAACACTTGTCAATCTGTGAGGGATATGCTAATAGAGTAATTAGAATTGTCTGGCGGTCTTAACTGGCTGTTACCAAATAGTTAATGAGGTCAAGAAGCACATATAACATGTCTTTTAGCCAGGTGTGGTGGCACATGTCCATAATCTCAGAGACTTGATAGGCTGAGGCAGGAACATTGCAAGTTCCAGGCCAGCCTTAGTAACTTAGTGAGATCCTAAACAATTTAGCAAGATAAGAAACTGTCTCAAAATAAAAAAATAAAAGGTAGCTGGGGATGTAGTTCAGCAGTGGTTATGTGCCCCTGGGTCATATCCCCAGTACAAAAAAGCACATGTGTGTCACTTGAGAGATGGGACTATAGCTCAGTGGTAGGGCACTTGTCTAGCATGTGTAAGGCCCTGGGTTCCATCAACAGCACCCTGAAAATATGATCAAAAAGCAGATATAGGGGCTAGGGCTGTAGCTCAGTGGCAGAGCTCTTGCCTAGCAGGTGTGA